CAGTTTATTGACTACTGCCTCCCACGTTCACAGTCACTTTTTGACTTTATTGTGTACGAATGTTATTTCCTATTTGATGGTGCGTTGCGGTCTGTTTGATTGATATATAAACCGAGTATGTCTGAAATAAATGATTCGATTCGCATAGTGGAAGCTGGTATTTTTGTTCTGGACTCAAGTGGACGGGCTAGGCGAACATAGGACCAATAAAGACGCTAAGCTACCCATACCGGTCGAACGTCATTGGTTTGGCACAGTGCGAAGATTGTATAAATCGTATTTTGATTGTTGGATAAATCACGTGATAAAAGTCGGACATAAAGTCATAACACTTTTCTTTTCTATTTGGAACCCATCAATTAAATGTACCTGCATAGAAAACTCAATATTCCTTTCGGTATTTGAACCAAGTATCTTTCACTTCAAACTCTGAATTTGTTGTCGTTCTCATTGATCAGTTCGAACAATCACTTACTTTTCCTACAAGTATGAATTCGATTTAAGTCATAAGGATTTTTGAGTTATCTCTCTTACAAACTTTATCCAAAATCCTGTAATCATATATTCTTAGGACTAAATACAAATACTATTGTGAACAACATTCTGTCTTAACCTAATAATGATAGCGATAATAGTATTAATGGCAATAATAGTAATAGTACTGGTAATAATAATAATAGTGACACAAATAATGCTACTAATAGTAGTAATAATGATGGTAATAGTAATAATAATAGCGATACCAATAACACTACTAATAGCAATACTACTACTAATAATAATAATAATAATATATTCCGAAATTCAATTCATTAAACTGCGAACAATCATAAAGACAATATCATTCAATGTATAAGTCTATCTATGTATTTTCCATGGAATGATTTTCACGACAATAACCATAAACAATGGATTGAACTAAATAGCCCATTTAGAATGAATAAATTATAATTACAACCTCTAGTATCTCATATGAATACAGGTATTTTATTGATATACATGATAGTGAATAAAAATTCTTATTTCAATATACATAGACATGAAATTATTTGTGTTTAAAATAATGGCCTATATAAATGATATGAAATAAATATTTGAAAGGTTATAGAAACAAACTAGTCATTTATCTAGGTATCAGTATGCGGTTGTGGAGATTGTTAAGTTTTTTTTGACTGAGATCATGAATCGATTGATGTTAAACGACTATTGAAAACCTGGAAGCACTAGACGACCGTTTCGTGCTAGTATGGGATTCCTCAGCGGTTCTAGTGAGAAACCGTAACAAGTAGAGCTAATCCGTGTCGGGTAGAGACAGGTATTTATCTCAGACAACGGAAGATGGTTGCACAATTTCGTGGATTGATTGAAGTTAGATATTAACTTCGTTGGATGCCGGCTCAGTGGTCTAGAGGTCAAGCCTTCGCATGCCAAATCGAAGGACCTGGGTTCGACTACCGCGAGGGTATCGTTAGTGCGCACTGCTGAGGAGTCCCATAATAAGACGAAGCGGCCGTTCAGTGGTAACAGGTTTTCGATGGTGGTCTAACATCAATCTATTCATGATATCAATAAAAGAAATTATCTAGGTAATTGGACAATACGCTTGTGTAAAATAAATAAAACAAATTCAGGATTTGAAGAATGATAATGGAAACGTAAATTTCTATGACGAAGAAAAAGGGAAATAAAGGTACTCTGGGGGGGATAATGAAAGAAACAGTGTAAACGAAAGGGAAGCATCTATTCCCTCTATCCTGAAAAAGAATATTTCGGTTACATGTAGATTCCGAGAAATTCCCCTTCAGAAAAACATTAAGGAGAAAATTTTCGATATATCTCCCTGGTAGGAGACAAAACAGACATCCTGGCACTTTCCCCAATTATTTATACAAAATTTTCCGGAGGAATGTCGCCCTTATTCCCACTTTCTGTTTCTTTAGGTTACTTGAGATGAGTGAACCTTCATCCTGATAACTGATGGATTTAGTTTGCAGTGTATGCAGTAAACATAAAGATTTAAATTTAAGTTTCTCATTATTTTCTATTTATCAGTAGAACATACTTACAACCTTCAGGGAACTGATATTCCTGATGAGATTTTGCACACTATAAATGAAGTGCTCGTTACAAACTGATATTAAATTAAAAACATCTTTTTAAATCATGAAATGTTAGAAATCTGTTTTCCTTAATTTTGGATTTACTGGTAATACGCAGTCTTGACATCACAATGCACTGACGCCAGGAATTTCAAGTATCACGACGAATATGATTCCAGTGAAATAAAATCCAATGGTTTTTATATTTTAATCGATTAGTAATTACAGTATAAAAGTAAAAAGGCACATAAAACCTTGCACCAGTATTGTAGTGAATGAGAACACCAACAGGGAAAACCAAAAGCATTTTCATATAACATTACAGAATATCTTGGTAAAATCAGACAATCATATAGTAAATATTTCATTTGCAAAATGTTCATCAATTGTCTCACATATTGTTGTTCCTTCATTCCATACAAATCACTCTCTGTACTCGTTCTCTTCTCTTCAATCTTCATAACATCCTGCCTCCAGGAATTTCACTTTTGATTGGTGATACATACTAATTGCATTTGTCGACACCAGTAGCACACACAACAATATCACTTTTTTCAAGTATCCAAAGTTCACAATAAAAATGAAGAGCTATTCAAATAAACAAGGATACATAATCCTACATGTATACATATATATCAATTAGGTTAATCGCTATTCAATTCTAAATTATTAATAGCTTAATGACTATCGTACGAAGATTTCAGACACTGAACTACAGCCTTCAATTGCACTACATCCACTTCAAATTTAATGATCGAGTAATATTACTAACCAATATGCAAAAAACCTTTTTGTGGGGATAGCTTGGACCCTAAAACGTTTACATCCAAATTACTAAGTTAAAAGTTTACAATACAATACCGATTGTATAATCAGCTTTCAGAAATAAAACTAGTGAACTACGTCTAACTCCATAAGTCATGTACTCGTTTGCCATTCATGTTTTCTATCAATTTTCATGGTTACCGTTAGAACTACTAATTGTTAGACTAAAAGAATTGATTCTATTACCTTTGACAGTTAGGAACCAATTTAATTCCAAAGCTAAAAAATATAGTCCTGGAAGTTAGGTCTCCTTTGAATACTTTCACATAGTTAGCCAGCCAGTTGGTTATTTTGAAAATTTAATGATGCGACTCTAATTTTGACTATCTCAATTAAGAGACGAAAAAGACTGAATCTTAACAACTACAAATTGAGACGAGTTAATAATTAACTTTTTAGTGAATACTACTAGTGTAATCCCCGAATGAAGTACCAATGATCTGATGGGAGAGATTATATGCTGTTTGGATCCCGGATAGTTAATATACCATCCCAAGGTCACATAGTAGATGAGAGATGAAAGTACAACCACACTATTGTAACCAATAACCCACACACACCCATACATGTTTCTACCTGGATCAGTCTAGTAACTTATGTATAAACGTACGAAACGTTTAAGTCATTATTAAGCCGTCGGGAATACAGATTCTTATGCACTGCTAGTTTTTTACTCTGCAGAGCTGGTCGGGAAAGTCTTTGAAACCGTTTGTTGTGACCGAATCAAACCTTAAGACATAGCTAGTAATCGTTAAAACTATCTGTGTTGCATAAGTATTTTTTCTAGTCATCAGTGGTCATTATCGTGAACCAGTAACGCAATGGATAAGGCCATGGAGAAAAATACTAGGTTGAAGTTTTATTTTAAACACCAACATTAAAGGAAGACGGGTAGAGTAGCTGTCGAATCTCAGTTAAAACATAACAAATGGTCTGGATAGCACTACTACACAACATCTAAAATATAACTGATAATTTGCCTTTTATGGATTGAATGTAACCAACCAATAGTTATTACACCCTTAAACTAGTATACTACAAAACAGCACTTTTAAATCCTCAAAAATATTAAAGAATAATTTCATTACAGTTGATATTTATCAAATTAAAGAATTTCTGAAGATTATTCGTTACGAACTTAATTTACGTCAAAAACTAACATCAACTGGACAACGAAGACCGTACGATAAAAGTCTCCTCTTTGTATAAGACGCATTTTCAGTGCACGAACGCTACCTCAAGAAGGATTGAACGAAGACTCAAATAGCATTGTGTTCGTTTGTGAAACATGAAGGTCCTGAGTTCGATTCAATAAAAGCGAGCTTCATTCCACTGGATGACAGCTCATAATACAAATTAACATTAAATTTAACAATCCTCACTATCGTCCAATACCTATTATTGCTCCATCAAGTTATTGATTATTAGACTAGGTGTTGTAGGCAAGTACAAACTACCTAGTTTCTAACTTCCATATTGTAGTAACTAATAGTTAGAGACGATGAAAGACATGGTTCAGAATCGGTTATAACAGTGTAAATGTTTTCACTTTTTATTTTCCTTCAGATCTATATTTGTTCCATACTTTTCATACCACAAAAGCATTCTATACCAAACCTTTTTCTATTACTACTGATAGTGATCATAAATTTAGTACATTGTTTAGTTGTTTAGATAACTTTTATTACTCTATGCTGATATCATGTGGAAACTCAAAACCAATACACATATAGGCCAGATTCCATATTGTCTATGACTGACTAACTGACTAGTTATTATCACTATAAACTAACTGTACTACAGTCTAGATAAATTCATAATTTCAAGGTATTTAAAAAAGAAATTACCCATAGATAATAAAGTGAATATAATATTAGAATTACTTATTTAAACACCAAACTTAGTAGTAGTATTATTAGTAGTATATAAATCCCTCATAAAAAAGACAAGAAGCATAATTAAGCTTCAATTATTTCATTTTTATAGAAAAAAGAAATCAAATAGAAATGCATCGAAATAAAATGACAAAACTGATTAAATCTTAATAAAAATTATTTCTCCCTTTCACCTCCCTATTCAAAGTGGCATGTTTGAATGTTTTTTCCAAGGATTTTCCAATTTCTTTCTTTCTAATAATTCCAAATCATGACATAAACGTAAACGTGTTAAATGCGGATCGATTATATCATCAATGTAACCACGACTAACTGCTGGAAATGGATTAGCAAATGCTTTGATGTATTCTTCTTCAGCTTGACTTTGATTATCTTTACCTCGAAAGATAATTTGAACAGCACCTTTAGCTCCCATAACAGCAACCTGATAATAAATGAACAAAATAGGTAGTAGCCGTGTATGGGGATTTTACCTCTAGTTACTATAATAATAATAGTAATAATAGTAATTATATATATATATGAGAAATGGTGGTGTTTACTACCCGGAAGTTAGCCAAAGTAGGCGTGACTTGAGGTTGGATTCTTTAACTTACTGATTGAAAGTTAAGCATGAAAGAAAATCAGCTGAAACTAAGTAATACGTAACATAATGTGGTAGTCGGAGTAAAAATAGTTTGAAAATCGATCCATCATATTTTCAATAACCCACATGAATCTTTGCTACTAATATGCATAATTTTTACTGACGAAAACCAATCAGCTAAACAATACCTTATGATAATTCAAGCACATATGCTTGTCTGTAATAAGTAGTCTGTGGTTGATCTTTGATAGTAAAAAATTAATTAACACCTTAAGAGATAAGATAATGAATTAATGGGAAAAGATCACTTAAAGGTAAACAGATTCTAAACTTTTGGTGACCCTTTATCTGACACTCCAGGTAAATCGTGTGCTTATTGTTATCGAAATATACATACCGCCGATCCTCGTATATTTTTATCGACTTGGAGAATAACAATAAAATAAGCTAAATACGAGAATGGATTTTGAATACGTATACTACGCATACATTGATCCGGACATACAATCAGGGAAGCGAAGCGAAACGAAGTGACGTGCAGAGGAAAAGGCTAGTGAGCCAACCGGATTTAATCAAGCGTGACTCAATATTTATATTCAAACAAAAATAAATTACATACACAATGACTAGGTTAAGTGATTAACACACATACGATCATTTGGAAAACAGTCAGCGTTAGTAAGTGAATGATTGACGAAGTCAAAAGTGGCTTGAGAAGAATGAATATATTGGCCTGTTCATAAGCTAGAATAATAGCCTAAGTTGGCTTGACATAGTACCAGCCACTACAGTTTTGATCGACTTATTCAAGTAGAATCTTCATAATTCATGTGGTAACTATAGATAGTGATATGCTTTGTAATGACCAATTAATTTCATTTTTGTTCGGTTTATAATTAATACGATTGAATTTTTTTTTAAGTATTAACATCTCTTAGGAAAAACTAAGTAATTCTTAAGCAAAGATAGGTAGTGGCTAGCAGTGGAATCCAGGACGCGTATTTCATCCTATTGGATTCGAGTCCCGGAATGAAAATCAACTCTGGGATGCAAGTACATCCAGTTGACGAGTCCACAGCTACATGTGGCCACTACAGCCACTACAAACTCATGATTTAATCTAAATGAACAATAGTAATAAATTTTTTTAAATAAAATTATAAAATTTAAAATATACACAACATAAAATTTGTCTAGAACTACTACTAGTAAAATTAAACATACTTCAGCAGTTGGCCAAGCATAATTAATATCACCACGTAAATGTTTTGAACTCATTACACAATAAGCACCACCATATGATTTTCTAGTTACAATTGTAAGTTTTGGAACAGTTGCTTCAGCGTAAGCAAAAATTAATTTTGCACCATGTCTAATAATACCACCATATTCTTGATTTATACCAGGTAAAAAACCTGGAACATCAACTAATGTTATTAATGGAATATTAAATGCATCACAAAATCTAACAAAACGTGCACCTTTAACTGATGCATTAATATCTAAACAACCAGCAGAAACTTTTGGTTGATTTGCAACAATTCCAATAGTTCGTCCACCTAATCGTGCTAAACCTATAATAATATTTTTAGCATATGTAGGCATAATTTCAAAGAAATCACCCTCATCAATAATATCCTATACAATGAGAAATTGAGAAAAAATAAGCATATAATTACAATTAAATTTCAAGAGAAATGTATTTGTCAATGATATGTGTTATATCCTAGTGAAGATTAAATTATGGGTAACTGTTGTGAACTATTAATGGACTAATATTATATATATGTGTATTGTTATTGTATCACTATTCAGTAAGTAGATTGTATATATATATATATATATATATATATATATATATATATATATATATATATATATATATATATATATATATATTCCGCTTATTATAAGCTTCATTTTGACCTATAGATTTACTGTTCTTAAGTTATGTCTAGTTTACTGATTACTGTCTCTCACGTTCACAGCCACATTTTGGCTTGATCTTGTAAAAATGTTATTTTCTATTTTACGGTGTAATGCAGTCTGTTTGACCGGTATATAAACCAGTTATGTTTGAAATAAATGATTCGCATAGTGGAAGCTGTTATTGGTGTTTTGGACTCAGTTGGACAGGCTAGGCGAACAAAGGAGCAACTAGGGACCTAGGTTACTCAGACAAGTCGAACGTCATTGGTTTACCACGATACAAGAGTGAATAAGTCGTATTTGGATTGGCGAATAAAATACGTGATGACTAGCCGGACTTAAAGTCACAACAACATGAATAAAATTTGGCGAAATTCCATGAACTAGTATGATATATATATATATATATATATATATATATATATATATATAACTAATTATTATTATTTATTGTAAAGTGAGTTTTCAACAAAAACTGATGGTAGAAGAATCATTGAATACAAGAAAGGATTTGATAGATATTTTATCCAAGTCTGAGATTATCCCCCCTCCCCTCCCCTCCTCAAACGTTCTCGTAAAACTCCACAAAGGATATAAGCCAAAATAGACGTGAGGTATAATAGTGTCAATGTGTAGGGGTTTAGTTTTATTTTTTAGGTTAATTAATCATTTCACTTTTTTCGGTTATTTTTTTGTACAGCTATTCGGTTGACCAAGGGTAAAAGGATATGAGATGATAAATTAGTTTAATCATCCCAGTTGTTCGATTAGACATATATTTAACTTTGTCAATTACTCATGAATAACCATGAGCACTTTGGTTTTTGAATCACTTTGTTATCTTCTGAGTCAGATTATTGACGAGCTTCAATACTTTATACAATCGGTGTATGTTTCATTTGCACGTTTGACCCTTCAATACATGTCTGAAATATACATGATGCGAACACAATTTGTATTTGATTTTTATTGCTTACTTTCTATCAACGTGAATGTATACAAAGTAGATAAGAATTATATTTCAAACTTCAGGTACGCTTTAACCATCACCTAATATCATCAGTGATATCTGTCTAACGTTAGATATGGTTGAAATGTGCTATTGACAAAATACTAAATAACGCATAAACCAATTAAATTCATGTATTTAGTGTAACTAATTAGTTGGTCAATTACTTTAACTCACTAACCACCAATTACAAGTTTTAATACTAGTCTTGAGACAAGCTTCTAATGTGAAGTTCAATGATCAGCTGTTTAAACTGAAATCTATAGTGAAGTTTGAATCATGAAACTGAAATAGTTGGAGGTTAATTGTTTTAACTATCAATTCACTGAATTAAGATAACCAATAGTTAATTAAGTCTCTTTATAAAAAAATATTTGAGATAACAACAAATAGTTTCCTGATTGTCAATTCATAGTAACTCAAAGAGATGTCAATTTATTAAAACTGGTGACCATACTGGGACGTGGTCGATAGAATTTGATCAGCGTTAAAGGACTAGACAAACAAAAGATTGGTCACTATTTAGTCCGAATACTCCGGTCTTATAAGAGATGAGCTATAACCTAAATACTTCAGTGGTGACATCTTATACTGTCAGATTAAGTGACTTCGGTTCGGACCAGCCAGGAGGCATGAACGCCCATAGGATTGAAGATACACTTTGTTAACGAATATCAACTAGTACGAAACATAGGTCGAGAGTTCCGTTATGACTACTTCCAACCACATAATAAAACTCAGTGAAAATAAATATAAATGTAGAAAAAAACTAGTTTTAAAGAAGTTATAAAATACTTAAAAATTACTTTTATAATCTCTGCCATATCGTAAGCACTTGTCGGTTCCAAAGGTACTATTGTATTTAGTGAGGGAACTAATCGATCGATTGGATCATGACATTCTTGAATTGGTGGTTTTTCTTTATTAGATAGAGGTAGAAATGTTAAGAATCTACGCAATGATAATAGTGCATCGACATCATTTTCAAAAGCGCGATGAGCCACACCTGATATAGTGGTATGGGTTTTAGCTCCACCAAGTTCCTCCTGAAAATAAAAAAAAATGAAAAAACACTCTACATATGTATATGAAGGATTTGAATTTTCCCATTGCCGATGTTATGAACTACCTTTGATCAGTCTCTATTATCATATGCGCATTCTGAGTGTAGTGGGTCGATTGTGGACTCGGTAGCCTCATGGATAACACATTATGTGTCTCAAGAGAAAGGTACTGAGTTTGAATCTCAGTGTAAATATCAACAATGGGATGTAGCAGGTAAATCCAAACAGAACGAAACGCACACTCTAGATTCCACACTACTGGCCACAATCAAACTTCATTGAAATTTAAGCAACTCTTTTTTAGTGAGCTAGACAGTATCTATTAAACGATCGTTTTACAGCCTATTGTTTTCTTTCTTTCTTAATAGTACCAATTACAAGCTGACTATTTATAACCCCTGATTGTCGCCATATCTTTTTTTAATATTTACATTTTATAAAATAATTCACTAAAAATCTGTCAGCCAGTTTATTATTTTGTATTTTACCTACATTATGATGTAAATAATTAGGTTCATCACAACCATCTGTTTGATCTTTGAACGTTATAACTGAGGAGGTTTACGAATATGAGATTAGTGTAGTTAATACAATAAGGAATTTGGTAAAAGTATACTGTAGGAATAAGAGCATCAGAATCAAGAATGCGACTTTTAGGTTTTTGGGCGAAATTCATATATCATGAGTGATGAGGAGTAGAAATACCCTTGTATACTATTCAGAATTATATTTTTGTCATTACTGAATATAAATGACAGTATTAAACATATCACATACCTGGTTCTGTCCCTCTAGATTGTACATAACAGACAAATCCGCAGTATTTTTAACCCCTAACACTAAACCTGGATGTACCATGTTTTATGGACGAACTTGTCTGGAAACATCTCATATCTCTAGATGCAATTTGTTCAGAGATGTTTACAAAGCGTTTGTACACTATAGTTGATGGCAGTTCGTGATGAAAGTCCTAACTCTAATTAGGAACAGTGTGGAGGCTCTTGTAAATCTGTTTCGATACTTTTAAGGGTCCGGAAATATAGATAAATTATGCCCAGTAGGACGAATTTAAATGTTATCTTTTCGAGTAACAAGCAGATTAGCCTATGGAAGACAGTATATTAATTATGTAAAACCTTTTTGGAATTTCGTAATACGACTGCCTTCTATTTCATAAACTACCCATTTATAAAACGTATCTAGAAATTCATTGAGGTTGTTTTAAACACGTCCACATACTACACAGTCGCAAGAAGCTTCTGAATTAGTGGAAGTTAGCAAAAATCGTAACATGAACATTGATGTAATGTATGCACACCGAAAAGAAAATAACAAATGATATATACTGGTGTGTTTATGGAAAAGGAACAAAGTGAATTTAGCATACTTTATTGTCCGTTTGAGATTATGGAGATTGGAAGCAATGGACGGCCGTTTCGTCCTAGTATGGGACTCCTCGGCAGTGCGCATCCACCATCCTACATGCAGGATTCGAACCCAGAACCTTCGATTTCGCGCGAACGCTTAACCTCGAGATCATTGAGCCGGATCCAATGGTGTTAATGTCTAACACCAACCAATCTACGATGTTGCGCTACCATTTATTGTTTTCGGTGGGTAACTGTCTCACATCCAACACGATTGACCTCTACCGGTCACATCTCACTAGAACTATAGGATTCCCTCTCGAAGCTAGTCACTAGTGAGCACTTGGGAATTTTCAGACCGAGGGTTCTGGGTTTGAGTTCCGTGCGCGGAATAAAAGTTCTACGACTGAAGCCAGTGTACTATAAACAAAATGTTACAGCTAACATATCACCGTGTTGTGAGGAAAACACCATGTTGTTAACAGTACACGAAATCTAATTACTGTACCTACAATATGACAAGCTTATTTTATTACGTAATAAATATTCATCTTCAGTTTGTAATTACTCTCAACTAAAAGAAATGACCAATCTATGAATATGAGGAAACATTGAGTTTATAAAAAACACGTTAATAAGTGTGTAAATCTAGAGCGAATCTTCTTTTCCATGTTTAAATGTAATTTATTTACAAAACAAACATATAGATTAATGCATTAGACTTAGGGTTTTAGCGTTGTGTTTCGGTAAGGACTAGTAATATAATGAATAGAGTTTCAATCAAGTGGTTTTAACCTCGAGGTCAAAGCTTTCTCTTATTATAAACTGTGGATACATGAAAACGAGTTTTTGAGTACTACAAAAGAAATAATAAACTATAGATCTCCAGCAAGGAGAGTGATTAACATCTAAATTTTGATTAATTCTAGGTTTATCTGTAACGAAATGAAGCTTAATACAATACTTTCTACCTTAAGAATTTTACCTATGGATCAAAAATTCATGGGCGGCTAAATCTGAAACAAATAACAGATTGTAATTAGCCACTAGTATAATACCAAAGTTTCAATACACATAGCAAAAAAGCCAATTAGAAGACTTAGAAGAATTAAACTACAATTCCTAATACCCACGGATCTCTGTCACACCCTATTGGCTTTAAACCTTTAGAAACTTACTATTTTATTTGGAATAATGGTTCCATATAGTGTTTCTCAATGCATTAAAAGTGAAAAACAGCTATACGTTCTTCTGTTTGTTAGTGTACAGGAAACCGAAAACAACGTTTGTATAAATAATGAACATCTATTATAACGCCCGGTTTTACTTCGTCTGTTATAATGGTTGGGTTCCCACTTTTACACGAATGGGACGTTAATTTACCTTAAACGATTATTTATACTAGATTCCCTCCTAGTGTCTATTCTACAGGACTTCAACACAACTCAGATCACGAACACATGATTAGCTTGACCACAACATAAATATATTTCCGCACCAAATCCGACACAATCCAACAACAATGAACAGTCAATAATAAGTGAGTAATAATAACAATAAGAATAGGGGAATATATAACTGATCTGACACCTGTCAGACTATCTACATGTCTGACTAAGCAAACAACCAATCATTAACATTCTTGCCTACACAACATCTTTTGAGGTTTATCATCTCCTTGGAATGTATTTAAGATGGTGAAAATATTTACTTACTAATGATGAGAATGAATGTTTCTCAATGGGAATTCTGTGTCTAATTTTCAAAGTATTCTAAAAACAAACTGGTGGTACTCTGAAACAGTGACAAATCATTCGTGAAACAGTACGCTGAAAAAACCAATTAATTAAATTACTAGTGTCACCAAATGTAATTGTAGTAGTTATATACATGAAGAAATCAATCAGAAAGTTTTATGTCAGTCAGTAATACACAAAATAGAACCTTGCACAAATTTTCATCGGTTCAAATCTGTTGTAACACAGGTGCACAACGAGAAGCCAGGTAGTATAAGTAGGAACATTATTATTGGTAGTAGAAAAGACTAGGCATAGATGTGACTCAAGAGGGAAACATAAGTTGGGGAAATAAAAAGACTTAAGGTAACTAAGAAACTTGGGATATTAGAGAAGACAGAGTAAATAAACCTAATCCATTTCAGACAATTCTGAGCCTTGCCAACCAAAATCTTTAACCATTGATCACAATAATCGCGCAGATCCCAACCATGTAGTATACACTTAATTCTACAACTCAGTCCAATTGACAGGGATCTTATGGACTGATGTCACATTTAGGTTTGGCATACGTAACACATACCACAACCACCCGAGATGCTGAATATTCACCACCTCACCGATCGGTTTGCCATTCTTACATAGTACCCTATCCTTAACCTTAGCAGTAATGATCAATCAATGGTCCCAGTATACACGAGCACTGTCTTGAAGATATCCATGACCGCATACTAGTACTAGTAACTTGACAATACTCTTTGTTTCCAGGTGGCTTCATTTTACACACATAAAGCGAACTGCTGCTCAGTAAACTTGTACTTTGGTTATTAGACAGATATGTCACCTACACCAAAACCGAATCTCATCTACGAAATAAGTTATTCCAACTGCAAAAAACATTACATCGAACAAAGTGGATGTCCTCTTCATCTTCACCTAAACGAAAATCAATTAACGGTCAAATGCCATGAAAAATCCTCGCTTATGCCGTAAGTCTGATCATCCCTATTAGGTTGGTGTCTGACGAAATCTCAGCACGGATTCAAAAAGCTCGTTTAGCTCTTGCCAACGTACGTCACCTATGGCAAAGGTGAGATATCCGTCTATCAATTAAGGGACGACTATACTGCGCGGAAGTTCGTTCTGTTCTACTTTACGTCTGAAAAACGTGGCCATTAAGAATAGAAGATATTCGTAAGCTACTAGTATTTGACCACAGATGTCTTACAAATATTGCTCGCACCTTCTGAGATTACAGGGTGAGTAATAGTGAGGTTAGATGAAGGTAATGATGGTGAGTCAGTAGATAAGGTTGTAAATCATCATCAGCTGAGATGGTTGGGCCACTTGTTACGTATGCCTGAATACGATTACCACGACGCGCAATGCTGACAAGTGTTGAAGACGGTTGGAAGAAAGTTGGGAGCGGTCAAACCAAGACGTGGCATCAGTCCTTGAAGTCACTAAATTCTAGTCTTAGTCACGTTGGTAGGTGAAGACTAGTTGGTTGGGGTCTGCGTCACTGTCGTAACCAGTGATCGGAGACTCTTGGTGACATGGTTCAGAATCGATCACAATGGCGTTGATGTATACACTCTTCGTCTTCCCTTAAACCGTGAGAATGAAATTACTTTATATCTTTCTTTCTACCAACTAATTCTTTCTTCCTGTATTATGTCCTTACACACAATCTTTCTTTTATACATTACTACAATTGAAGTAACTACTTTTATGAATTTGCTGTGCATCTTGTTGTGCTAATGGGGTGTGGCAACTTGGACCAATGCATATATGTGCCTGGTCCTACGTTGTAGCTGACTGACTGATGTTGATGCATGAGGATAATTTTTGATGCAAATTCGACTAGAAAAATATTGAGATCTTGGATAAAGGGAATACTAAAAGCACAATGGAATTTTCAAAAGCTTGGCACTCAAGTCTATCAGCAATCACCAAACACATTGAAATCGATCCAATCTATCAATCAGTCAGAAAAATTGTAGACAAATATAGAACCAAGAATCAAACCAATGGGAGATACAATCAAAATAAAGTAGATAATGACAAGTTAAAAGTTAACACTAACCGATCAAGATCGAGGTCGACAGAACAAGATATAAGTCATATGTAGAGAAATTTGAACATCTCACTTCCACCTGAAGTTTGTGCTCATGGTGTTGTTCAGAAGAACAATGAAAGCTCGACGATCAAACTATTTACTCCAAAGAACAAAACTCCACTTAAACCAAAAGTGACGTCAGTTGGTAAAAGCCAATCGAACTTTCTGAATTCAAACAGAGATTTCATCAAAAACCAACCCACCAAGGGTGATCAGACTTACAAGATGAAGGAAGTGATCGGCGCGCGCAACTATTTCACTCCCCATCATTAGATTAAGCGTTAGTCTAAACCAGTTCAAAAGCATTTAAAGAGAGAACTCATCGCAAACACACTTGAATTGTTGTTCAAAGCAATCTGAAGACAGTATTTTGTCAGCGTCCCCACCAAAAAGAAATATATCACCTATGTATTCTAGGTAAGCAAGTAAAGCACCTGATTAAAAGTTGATTCGTGGAAGGTTGGATGATGAGAGCACCATCTCTAAAAGGATTTCCACAATATGATTAGACAAACATAGAGAAAGTGGACAACCCTGATCAATACTAGTTAAATTTACCGATTACGGTGAATATTGACTATAAGTCCTCACTCAATCAATGGTGATCGAGTACAAGGTTTATGTACTTTGTAGTGTAGGTTACTATGTTAAGCCCACATAACTTATTTCAGCTTTGGGACAAGCCAGTCTATTCATTTTTTCTAAACCACATTTTGACCTTGTAACTTATTGACTTATTTATTCTGTTTTTAGATGAACGTATGTGTGTGCACATCTTATCCTACTCATCACATGCCTGTAGCTTATTTTTTTCTGGCTATGAATATCGATTACCGCTTGATAAAATCGAGTTGGCATACGCGCTTGCTCCACCGCGCGCCATTTCGCTTCGCTCTCTCTTCGCTTTCTTCGTGACGTCTTTCTGATTGTCTACTCAAGTTAACGATTGTACAAATTATACGAATTCGAAATCCATCCTCATATTTGACTTTTTTGGATTTTTGAATACGAATAATTTGTACAATCGTTGACTCGAACAAACAATCAGAAAGACGTCGCGTACTGGCCATTAGACCTGGCAATTTACGGGGTCCAAAGATCCCTTAAAGTCAAGAGATACAACTGTGGTTGACAATCGGTAGTTACGCCTATGTTCTAGAACGTAAAGAAAAGCAAACATTTTATCTATATATCCACATCCAGATCGGATACCAACCCGGTTTTTTCAGGTTTGCTCCTCAAGAATCCCAGTTATATATATATATCATAGTTTGATGTAATTAATCAATTGAATACTAAAGTGCAAGTTTGTGATGTCAATTTTCTAAAAAGAATGCAATGAGACGAGCAGTATTGGCCAAAAATAAACATTTAACGTTGAAAACAAAGAACCACCTATTCGAACATGTGATTATAAGTATATTGAATTAACTAGTTCATTGTTTATTATCAATAAAAGTACTCGCCTGAGTAACATCTTCATTGGTAACGGATTTTACGACATCTGGTCCAGTAATAAATAAATATGATGTATCATGAACCATAAATATGAAATCAGTAAGTGCAGGTGAATAGACAGCTCCACCAGCACATGGACCAAGAATAAGAGATATTTGAGGAATCACACCAGATGCATTTACGTTGCGCTGAAATATATCAGCATAGCCTGCTAAAGAGGCAACACCTTCTTGAATACGTGCACCACCAGAATCATTTAAACCAACAACGGGTGCACCAACTAACATTGCTTGGTCCATAACTTTGCATATTTTTCGAGCATGAACAAGACTTAAGCTACCACCGAATACAGTGAAATCTTGGCTGAAACAATAAATGAATGTATAAGTTTTCATGAGATTTAAAGACGACTAGTTCTCGTTGAAACAACTTAAAAACAAATGTAGAAATCCTTCATAATTTCCAAGGAAATTTACTTGCTTTTTCAACTACTATTGGAAAAAGATTTTGAATATTAATAATATGATAAAAACACATCATATAAGATAGTAAAAAAACAATGCAACCGTTTAGAGGAAATTCCACCATACCACAAATAAAGATGAGAATTGAAAGACAACCATCAATACCTAACTAACCAGAGAGGTTTGAATAATTAATTTAACTGATGCAATAAGTTAACACTAATCATATGATGGGGTAATTAGTGTAAATTACATAATACAGCACCAAACTGTAAATATGGAAATCTTTGAGTCTTTTTGAAAATTAAAACGGTTGTTTGAAGATGTTTTTCATATTGTTGCGAAAATGATGTAACTTTCCTGTGATAAAACTTACTTATCAGGATTAAACACTAGTTCATAACGTCATTAGCGTATCATTAATTAAGAATAACTACAAAACCAAGATTTTATAACGTATTATCAAGCGCTGACACCTTAATACTGACATTATTGAGTTAAATTGTACAGAATCCTAGAAATATCCTTTAAGAAAAACAATTTGTTAAGATTGATGAGCTCATTCTGGGATTTTTCACTGTCGACGTCCAGCGTGCAGTTATCTTATAATCTCGGATTATGTAATAAATAGTGATACAAACAGTTGAAGTATCCTTATGATACAGTACCAAGCATCAACGAAACTAACAGAAAAATAAAAAGATATAAGTATCAAATGGGTCACAAACATTTGAAGCATTCAGCACATAAGGAATCTGCAGCTGTCTCAATGCATCTCGTAGTACCTATGGAAAACAGTGAAGCGTAATGTGAGAGAGTAAAACCTATACCATTACTCTACAATTCCTCAAGAATATTATGAAGAAAATTATCAAAAAATAAAGCATACGAGTTCTATCATGTAAGCTATTTAGTACACACTCACCTGAACAAATAAACCGGACGTCCATTAACTTGACATCTTCCAGTGACAACGCTATCACAAGGAATCTTTTGCTTCTGCATATTGAATTCATGACAATCGTGTTCCATGAAAGCATCATATTCGATAAAAGTTCCAGAATCAGCCAGTAATTCTATACGTTCACGGGCTGTAAGTTTTCCACGCTTATGTTGTGCTTCTAAGCGCTTTTCACCGCCTCCAAGAAGAATCTTTTCACGTATATCTTTTATTTTTTTCCTTACATCAAGAGTATTTGCCACTCCAGATATGCTCCTGATGTTTACATTTCTCAAGAAAACCTCAAATTTATATGAACAGCGGACAATGTGGAGCATCTAGAAAGAAGTAAAGGCTTCGTATTTAAGTCAAAAAATAAATAATATTAGTAAGGTCACTAGTGCGATGTTTCTAACATATGGAAGAATTAAAAAACAACCTGACTAACACTAGTTGCAAATGGTTGGAAGTTAAACAAATGAAATCGGAGTACTTTTATCGGTATGATTCAATCTTCCACAGAAATTTAGACCATTTGGATTCTGAATAACTTTCCTTCTCAAATTTAGGCGTTACTCTACTACAATGAAATAATTGCCACCATAAGTAACAATACAACAGACTAAGATATATTCAAATGAGCCCTTCTTGACATTATCTTTTAGGAGTCAGACTGCACTTTATACTTTTTAACGGGAACCCTGACAAGCCGACGATGTATTTTGACACGTATTTAGAAAATAGGAGCAGTATCTGCTCGTATTTTTTAAGAACACTTTGTAGATCATGATAAAATACCAGGTAAAACTACTTCAAGAGTAAGTCAATTAGCGACAGGACGTATTAAATTTGATGTAGCCTCAAATTACGCAGAATGTTTACCGTTTCCTAGAACAATGTTTAGTTGTATCAAGTTAATGATTATTAAGAAGACATAATATAGGGTTTTTAATGAAACATGGTCCAATAGAACTAAATCACAAGGTCGTCATTTAAGCAAGATAGCTTAAGCGTTGTACTTGGTGAAAACTATATACACCATAAAGATAACATTAATTCATTTTCCTGCAAAACCAAAAGGTAGTTTTTGTGTTTAGTTACGTATCAGTGAGCTAAACATGTCAGAATTTCTGAATATCATTATAAGCACGATCCACAAGTTCCTTAACACGAGACTGTGCTACTATAAATCACTTGTAGATTGTATCTTAAAAATAATGATACCAAGGAATATTCAGTAGGAATGGTAGAATGTTATTGTAGGCATCATATGACTGAGACGATAGATACATTTACAGCATTAAAAATTGTTTCTAAATGAGATTCAGGTATACAAAGGGCACATACAAGGCTTACCGAACGCTGGTCAGAACAAGGTCCAAGAATATTATGTGGTATTCTCTCATTCTAGCTTTTATTCTTAGCCTCTAAACGTAACTTAAAACTCCAGCACAACACTAATTATTTTGGATTGCAACTAATTTCAGCCAATGATGGAAACCATATGGTGTGATGACCGAGACTCACAACACTAGCCAGACTTCTAAGACGAAAATATGACATTTTTCATCGACTACAAAGAGTAGTTTGACATGTAACAATTGTTCAGATTAAAACTATCGTCCCACTATTGCTTTACTGATTCCCAAGTTTAGTTGCTTTGTAGATAGACAAATGTTTTTGATTGGAAGATAAGTCACCAAAGGTTGTCGGCATGGTATACTTCTAACGAGAAAAACGTAAGTGAAGGAGACAATGTCGTAAAGTAGCACAAAATCTGTGCAGAACCAGCAACGAAGAAAAAAAAGGCATTATAACTGAATAGTTTTAAAACGTTATGATGCTGTAAAACTTTGTATTTATCACTATCACAGAAACAAAAGAAACAGCAACATCAAAAGCATCTAATCCGCTCAATGAGGGTTGAAGATTGTCCTTGAAATTGACTGGAAAAAACTGCCGTATAACAAATATTGCCCTACATAACGACAACTAATAGGCTGAATATTATAGGTTCTATGTTTATGTTCATCAAAATGTTCAAATTCCTTTGAAATAGCGTGCGAAATGGGCACTGTCACATAACTGACCTAACAACTTTATGACATAGGACCGATCGTATCCAATATACAATATCTATATGGTCAGCTATCACAAACTCGGTGATTCGTTTGCCCCCAGTTGTTGCTATCTTTAAGTAATGGACAAAAGTCTTTATTGGGGCTTAGTGAAGGTGATTTAGTCACTCGAGCAAGCCCTAATGGATTTGACAATTACTTAGGATCTAGATACTATGAATTTAGGTGGATATGTAGATCTTACGTAACTTGCAGTCACACAGTATCAAAGAGGAGATCGACTGCAACATGTAAATCCCAAAATAAGAATGCAATGGAGAATTGAGTAGATAGCTGTGAAATGATGTAAGTAAATAATTGATGCAAACAGTAAGATACTAGAAAAAAGTGAGAACACCAGATAAAAAGCGCAAAGCTGAGTTTGAGAGTCTAATGACAACAATAACAGTCATAATAATAATGATGGTCGATATTTCGTCAGATATACATCTCCTCCAGAAACTACCAGTGAACCGTGGTGAAAGGTAAACAAGAGGTTGCCTAGCCTCCTCTTGAAACCATCAACTAAGCGTGGTGCCATCAGTATTGGCTGAGAGAATATTCTTGATATGACAGACTAACAATGAGCTAACCTATGGCTATATTCGGAAGTTAGTTATTTGATGTGCGATTCACTCCGTTATTTCTCAGAACCCAGTGGTAGAGTTCCCATAGTATAATCTTGTTGGCTTTATTCGACGCATTTAATATATAGCAAACCACTGTCGTATCAGCTCTTATTCTTTGTAACTAAACGAGGATAACACCACATCAAAGTCTTTCTCCATGTAACTATTCCATCAGTACAGTCAAGCACCTTACTAGTTATCTTGCAGTGATATTGGCCCTAGCCACTCAATCCTCAAAGCTAAACATGAGATAACTGTGAAAACAGACATTTAACATATAACACGGAGAGAAAGCCAAAAACAAGTGAATGAGGGAATAATTAATTGAGTTGGCGGGACTCTAATTTATGGACGACCTTTGAATGAATCTTAAGTGACCTTGAGAAATAATAGATAATCAACAAACAGTCAGTATAGAGTAAAAATATGTTATACAAAACCAAGGAAATAAAGTGGATACACGTCTGATACGTGGTTAAAAAACGTTTCAAGGTTAGAAAGAGGCTCAGAGGTTCTAAAATCGTAATGCATGCAGTAGAGGAAATCATCCATACGGCTACAGAATAGTCGGCGTCTGGAGCCATGATAAAGTCTCAAAAACTCCTTCAGTCTCGACCACATAGTTTCAATGTTGTTTATGTGCACTCCAATTGCTGAGTACACAAAATGCTACTTGTGGATAGCCACACGATGCACATAACCGAGCCTGTGAAGGAATTTATACGCTCTGTGAACATATATATATATATATATTGTAGCACCCAATTGCAACCAGTGTTGCTGGTGCTTTTATTATCAAGTTCACAATAATCGTCATAATTTGCCTTAGAAATTATATATGGGGTTTTCATTACAAACTGACATCAGCTATAATGCTGGAAGTTTATTTAGCCAAATGGATGGAAGTCTTTCGCGTTAAAATTCGAGATCTATTGTCTTATACCTGATTGATTCGTCCACAAATTATAGTCTCGCTGTTTTATTTGTTACAGCCGCTCAATTATCACATTTTGTACAAATTTCCTTGTGAACCGATCGTATGTTAGCATTAAGCACTGAATTTTGCGCCGTAACATTGAGGCCTCTAAGACGCTTCTGATTGGCTCGTCCACAAATTAGGGTCTTGCCAAATATAATATTCTATCACCAGACTAACTGTGTTCTTTAGGAACGCTAAACATTAATTTGATGATTATTACAATACGACGGGTCAGAATATACAATGGTGTGACTTCCACGTAAGGTCTTATAGATAATGTTTTTACATCACGACAAATCTGCAATTTTAGGGTGACGTCTATTATTATAACCTTATTATTAACGAAGTAGACCATAATCCTACAATCTCTTTACTTGTTCAGAGAGATATGCTGATTTTCTAGAAAGAGGTGAGCAATAATTCTGTGACTTTCGGCGCAGGGCCAAAGTGCGCGTTAAGTAAAGTCCACCTGATCTTCAAAGTATACAGCTTTCAGGAAGAGACAACTAATTCACGTGAAGTGTGATAGACGGAAAAGTCCTAATGTACCGATTGCTTCTGTTTAATACACACATAAATGTAATGTATGTAAGCTTTCATGGCTCTTCGTTAGATCTGCGGGTGGTGCGTCTGTAGAATTTGGTAATCTCTTTAGTAAATCAGCTAGTTTGTCTGCATTGCGATAGACTAGGGTTGTGGATAATATTCCTTCAGTGATATTCATTGTTTTGCTGAGTTTGATGAGCATTAAAAATAAGCATTGTGTTGAAATTTGCCCTCTATATTGAGATGAATTCCCCGTATGTTCCTTTAAATTTACGATTTGTTGCAGTCAGGTAATAAAAGATCGGGTTGCATCAATTTATGTGGTAACTGAAAATTATTGAAACGTTATAGTCGTCACAAAAGGGACTAAACGGAGCTTCAATAAATTTAATTCACATTCTTGGAACCAATTAAAATGAACTGGTTTCATGTTTCAAACAAAAGCCGTGACTTATTTAAACTCTGGTTCAATGAAACAGAAGTATTCTATCGAATAAATTACATAATAAGGTCAAGGAACACGAAATAACTTTATCTATAATTTAGATAAAATAAAGTATAGTGAATGAAAAGTATTAAAGCTTACTATGTTGGATGGTATAGATAGCGTATTATTATTCTTGTGGATGTTGTGACGTCAATTTATACAAAGTTCATTCAAATAAATCCTCAGAATAGGAATTTGCCAACAAATTGTACAAAGAGTATCGGTTTAAAAACACTCGATGGAAAACCCAAAAGTCACCTTGTCAACAAATGGATGGAAATGGACCGGAATAATGATGTGTACAAACTCTAAGCGCCTCAAAAAACCATTGACAGTCTAACGTAAGCCCCATATACAAATGTGCCTTTTAGCACCGTAATGGCCAAAATGAATACAAATATATATCTGAATCAGTTGCTGTAAGTTTTATGATCATTAAAAACTCAGATATAATTTCATCAAAATCATCGATTGAAAACCTGGAAACATTAGAGTTCCATTTCGTTCTAATGTGGAATTTTTTATTAGTGTTCATACACGAATTTACACGTGCGACTCGGACTCAAAACTATTGTGGTGGACCAGACAATATATAAACGCAAAAGGTATCAACAAAGTTAATAACAATCAATAGTAATATTAATATATACAAGTTAAATGTTACAAATACAATAATAATTAAGGACGTTACTTAAATTGCCCAAACGTTGCGTGTTCTGATTAAGTCCAGTAATGTAAATCCACAATTATAAATGCTTGATGACTCTGAGCAGGTTAGTGAACTCTCTAGCGATATAGTCCAACGTAGGATGTGATATATTCCGATTATAGTCTATAAATGTAGATAGTATTTGATTTAAACTTCCATTAACTCAATCACAAATGAAGATAGAACTAGGAATGCGTGAGTAGTAATGTATTTGTTAACCAGCACGAATATGTCACGCTATGTAGTAGCTCAACGGAAAGTGTCTTCAAGGTCAATGACTAAAACAACACGTACAGTCATTTAATGATGAATGTACATACAGTGAAAAATTGACAAAATAAATACAAATAACATTAAAAACTATTTACAAAATAAGCTTGTTAGAGTTATCTCCACATAGCTCCCCCCAGAGTGTCCGGAGGTAACACTGGTTATAATAACAACAAAAATGTGAGAATATGATATGTATATAAAAAAAAATAATATTTACAGTTATAACCAACAAAGATGTGGAGATGCGTATGATATGTATATTAGTGAGACATACCGTGTGTTATCGAGTGAAAAAAAAAATAACAGTGATGTCACAGAATAACAAACACAAAAAAAAGTATATACTGTCATTTAATGTCTTGTTTAGCTAACAATGATAATGTGTAAAACTGTTAATGACCCACACACACACAAACAAAATTGAACCGTTTATTTTTGTGTATAATGAATAAATAATTAATAGAGTTTACCCGTTTTTTATTGTAACAAAATTTTTTTTTTTGAAAAAATGACAAAACGAATAATTGTGGGAAAATGTGATTAATTATATACACTGTTAAAAAAAATTTTTTTAGATGGGATTGATAGTGTAGGTCCTCGATAATTGTTTGCTTTGATTGTTTTAGTTTTTTTTATATGGCAAAATGTACGTAACGCTTTGGTTTTTTTATAAGTCTCCCAGAACGTGTTAAACAAGAGGGTGTAGTGCTAAGTTTTTCCTCTTCCTCTTGTTTCTTAGCAATAGATGGGAGTGATTGTTTGTTCGCAGTATTGTCTTCTGTGTCATGAGGGACTTCGTAGAAAGCTGGTTTTATTCGGTCTATAGAAATTGTCTCATGGTTCCCATTTTTGTTGATAATGAAATATTTGTCAGTGCGTTTTATTACTTTATAAGGGCCTTCATATGGTGGTGTCAGTGGCTTTTTACCGCGTCTACTCGAACAAAAACAAATTTGCACGTTTCTAAATGTTTATCAAGATGGACTCGGTTGTCGTATTCTCGAGGTGGTATTGCTCTGATGCTCTGCATCATTTGTAGTAATCTGCTTACAAAGCGAGAAGGGTCTCCTGGTGTTGTGGGTTCATTCTTGACCAGTTGTCCTGGTAACGTTAATGTCGTGCCATAGACTAGTTCAGCGGCCGTGCATCCGATGTCTTCCTTTACAGACGAGCGAATCCCAAGGAGAACGAGCGGTAAAGCATCGCT